ATTTAAAAAGTAATATTACTGATATATTTGCTATAAATCACATAACAGTATTTATTAAAAGAAATGAAGTATTAATGTATATTCTCAGTAGTTTTAATTTGCTAAACCAGGTAGTTTTTCCAGTAATAATTGTCTCTTATGTGAACTGAGGAAAAATATAATTTCCAGCTTTATTTTTTCAATCGGTAATTTTTATTTTCCCTAAGTGTAAGTATCAATGTAATCATTTATATAATAATAGATTAGTACACAATTGTATGTCAACACATTATTTATTACCTTAAACTGTCTGGAATTTATTAAAGGGTTTCCCTTGCGTAAAATTTACTATCGTGGAAATTCAGCTTTTTTGCCTTTTGGCTAATCTCATCCCTGTAAAAAGTACTTAAAGGTGCTTTTTTGGGGATTTCGTTTTTAAAAGCTTTTAAATGTGCTTTTTTCAGCTGGCGTTTTTAAAAAGTGCTTTTTTTCCGTATAATTCCCCCCCCCCTTCAGTGATATCTGGTGGATCCCACGCATTTCACGAAAAATGGGGAGTTTGCTACGTAATCATTCACGGGGACTTACCCACGTTATGACTTGCACGTGCGCGCACACTTGAAACCGAAATCCGAGTGCTCCAATTCGGATAGAGAATATCAGATCCTTATGAAATCTTTTTCTTTTTAATTTATTTTAATTTTGTTCTTGTTTATTTTATTTTACTTCTAACACTTTTTTTGACATAGGGGGTAAGGGCACTTTTGCTCTGAGTGCAAGGTCAAGTTGAATTCACTCGGTGATGTGGGAAAGTACTGATTGTTTCGATTTACGCCCGTTTCTTGTTTTTTTTTTACGCTAAAACTGTTTATAAAAAGTTTTTGTTTTTCAATAATATCATTGATTGAATATGAATTTCTTGAGTGCTTGAAAATTTTTGTAAAGTGCTTGAAAAGTTTTTAAAAAGTGCTTATTTTTGATTCAAAGATTTGGCTATGCACCCTGGAGAAACTTTAAAATGTTTAATTTTTTTTCAGAAATCCAAATTAACATGGTTGTACTAATAAATTTTATTGTATTAAACCAGTTATTAAGTTAATAGTTTTTTGTGTAATGAATAAAATAAACTTAAACGAATAATTGTAACTGAGGGGCAAATATATATTTGAAATAATTTTTGGCTTAAAAAATAAGAAAAATGTTTTTTGGATGCAAATCACTGTATAATTAGACTCTGGAACTGTTTATTTTACAATATAAATCAAACAATATGTAAAATTGTAATATTTTTAATAACTTATTCTTCTTTGAAATAGACAGCTTTTTTTGGCAGAATAAGTCAAAATCGTGAATGTTCACGATTTATGATAAATTTTACTATAATCATACATAACTCCTAAAATAACTCCTGAATTCATAAATTACAACAAATTTCCTTTAAAATGATACCAAATACAAGGATATTGCTTACAATTTAAAAATTCAATACTGGTTTCAGTTGGCATGGAATTCAACTAAGTACAAAAAAAACATTAAAGGAAAGCCTCATATTCCAAAAGTAAATAAATCCAATTTAATAAAAATAATAATCTAAGACAAGGAACAGAATTGAGTAGATTTTGTTAACGAAAACATTTATAATTTAAGTAGAAGCTGGTGTTATTTCAAACCCTATTAATATTCAGCTTCATTACCAATCATAATTTATTATTCTGACCAAGTTTCTCTTTCTTTAACAGTTCTCGTCTTTTTAACAGTTCTTTTAGTGTGCTTTTTAAAGCAGAATAAATATTTAGGTATCAGAAAGGCTGCAAGAAGAAAGTAGAAAAGTTTTTTTTATTATATTTTTTAAAAGACTACAAATGTAAATTTGTTTTTTGGAAAAGGAAGAGTGATTTGTTTATTATGATTGTAAAAAAGTATCTGGTAAATAGACGTTTCTGGTAGATTAGATTTAAAGATTGGGCAGCTCTGACGAGCAAGGCACGTCGACCAGAGGTCTATTGTACCCGAACCATGATTAGCATGAAAGCCCTATAGCTGAGATGAAATTCAGCTGATACCTTACAGGAACGTTTTGCAGTTTCCCGGCGTTGACACAATGTTGCCCTAAATGCTCAATTCTTTGAGCAGAATAGACCTCACAATCGCAGAGTATGTGTTGTGATGTCTCTTCTTCAAGATGACAGCCCCGACAAAGAGAATTGGATTCTATTCCCATTATGTATAGGTGTCTTCAGAGGATGCAGTGTCCAGTAAGAAGACCAATGATCTTCCTTAGACTATTTCTATTAAGCTTTAAAAGCTCTTTTTGACGTACTTTAGGACAGTCGCGATTTAGCTCCTTAGCTTGTCTCTGACCGTCTGCAGTGTGCCATTGCTCATGGGCAATTTAACCATAGAGCTTGAAAATGGACGCCCTAAATGAGGTGGGAGGAATTCCCAGTGCAGGTTCAGGGCCCCAGAAAATTGCATTAGAGCCAGCTCGTGCCTCTTCATCAGCTAGCTCATTTCCACCGATTCCCATATGTCCAGGTACCCAATGCAGGGATACCTTGTTATGAGTGGATAAGTCACAGAGGACCGTGAAGCATTCCCACACTAACAAAGAGGTGAATTTACACCTTGACAGTGATAGGAGAGCAGCCTGACTGTCAGAACAGATGCGTATGGTCGTATTTTGATATCCCTTGTCTAAGCATATCTTACAGTACAAGATAATGGCATAGACCTCAGCCTGAAAAACAGTGGCATAGTTTCCCAAAGGAAAGTGAAGTTTGGTACCATCATTGGAGCAACAGATCCCTGCTCTTGATTTAGCACCAATCTTTGAGCCATCAGTGTACCATATTAGACATTTGCCTTTAAGCCACCAAGGAGAATTAAACCATTCTTCTATAGTAGGAAAATGGATCTTAAAGGGCTTGTGAAAAGCATATTTTAGTCAAGTAGCCACTAGGCATGTTAAAAGAGGGTATATCCACCACTTGTGAGACAAGATGTCCCCATGACAAGTGTTTGGAATACTCTTTCCATAGGCCAAGGTGCATAAGACGCTTTATGCCTTTCTGAGCTTCAACTTCAATGCGTAGATTCAATGGAAGAAACCCAAGTAAGCTCTCTAGAGCAGCTGTAAGAGTGGTCCTAAGACAACCTGACAGGGCTACACAGACCATTCTTTGTAGTCTATTAAGATTAGACCTTGCTGAGCTCAATCTAGTCCTCGACCATCAGACCATTGCGCCATAAGTGATGATAGGACTAATAATCATTGAATATATCGAGTTAACTATTTTGGGGGATAATCCTCTGGTTCTACCAATAGCATTTCTGCAAGACCAGAAAATCTTCCTGGCCCTGCTGGTACAGTATTGTATTCAAGATGATAACCCCAATTTAGTTTGGTGTCAAAATAAACCCCGAGAAACTCTACTTTCTCCGTGAGTTCCAATTTATAGTCCAGGTAGTACACATTACCTAGGCCAAGTTGCCTTTTTCGTGTGAAGGCTGCATAGTTTATCTTGGATGGATTAACAGATAGGCCTGAGTCAGAGCACCATCTAGCTACTTCTAGAAGTGCATTATTCATGATATCAGAGATTGTTTTACCATGTTTGCCTCTGACAACAATAACACCGTCATCAGCGTACCCGATACAGGGAATGCCAAGATCAGTTAACCGAACTAACAAGGAGTCCATTACCATACACCATAGGATAGGGGACAAAACCCTTCCCTGGGAGCACCCTGCGGTTGCATGCACTTTCATGCTTGCGCCTAGTAAAGAGGAACAAACATACCTAGAGGATAGCAAGTTAGTTATCCGCCTGGTAATTGTTGAGTTTATGCCTCTGTTCTTAAGTGCATTGATGATAGTCTCAAGAGGGACTTAATCAAATGCACCTTCAATATCAATGAATACCGTAACCGCAATCTCCTTATCTGTGATTGATTTCTCAAGCAGGTAGGAGAGCTCGTATAGTCTGGTGTCCGTTGACTTGCCAGGTTGATAGGCATGCTGTGTGGAGGACAGTGGCCTATCTATGAGTACAGTGTCTCTGAAGTATCTGTCAATTAGCTTTTTGATAGCTTTCAACAGACAGGAAGTGAGGCTGATTGATCTGAAAGATTTAGCCTCAAAGTAATTTTCCTTACCTGGTTTTTGGTATGAAAACTACCCTGGTATTCCTCCAAGAGTGAGATATATACCCAAATGCTATACAGGATCGAAAAATCCTGCATAGAGTAGGGGCTAGTATATTGACCCCCTGAATAAGCATCATTGGTATGATATCATCCATGCCTGGTGACTTGTATGACTTAAACGACTTTAATGCCCATACAACCTTCTCATAAGAAACCACCATCTTAGTGCCCCCCAGTCATTCCTACTCCAAGTAGTTGTGGGAATAATATGTAGATGTTCATTCTCCACAGGATGAGATCCAGGGAAGTGTGCTTTGAGTAGTTCTCCAAGAACCTCTTCACCTGAATCACTGTATCTTCCGTTTGTAAGATGGATGGCATTTAAATTGCAATTAAAATCCTTAGTAAGAATTTTTGCAATCTTTGCGGTGGCAGAAGTAGCGTTAATACCATTGCAGAAAGTCTGCCAAGAGCGATGCTTAGATGCTCTGATAGCCTTATTATCGGCAGTTAGAGCGTTTCTATAGGTCTGCCATTCTCCAGATTTCTTTGCTCTGTTAAATGACTTCCTACATTTCTTACGTAATTTACTAAGCTCAGAAGACCACCAAGGAACTCGCCTTGGGGAGCTAGTAGACACAATATTACATAAAATATGATATGAATCGAGTATGATCTGTTGCACTTGGTCAGCAGTCCACTCCACATCATTAACATTATTGTACTTACCAGAAAAGCTCCCTATCGTCCTCTCCAGAGCTGCTGCTTTCTGCTTCAGTTCTGAGAGGCCTTTAATAGAAAAAATAGTTGATGATCTGAAGCAGTAACTGCCCCAGATACCTTCTAATCATTAACGTAATCTACTGAAATAGAGTTACATTAAGTAAGGTCAATGACCTCCTTTCTGTTACTTGTAACAAAGGTATGTTCATTGCCTTTGTTAAGGGCATACAAATTAAAATATAAGATATGTTCCATAAGTACATCCCCCCACTGGTTACAATGGCTGCTACCCCACTCTGTGTGGTGAGCATTTGCATCACAGCCGAAGATGAATCTACAGCTTGAACCACAGTGGCCAATTAAAGCCCTAATAGTATCGGCAACAGGGCCCTTCTCTTCATAGGGGAGATAGGCTGAAACTATGACAAAGTCAGAAACTATCTCATTGTCATAGAATTTTAGCTTTACAGCAACTAAGAACCTGTCAGGAAAGTTGACAAGATTGACGTTTCTGGTAAATAAACATTTGGATTTTGGACTTTAAACTTTAGTATATTGCTAATTTTCCAATCTATTTATATCACTTGAATGAAAACATTGAAAATCTATTCTAAGACATTTCACAGAAATGCATTCGATTTACAGTTGAAAACATTTTTGTTAAATTTATTTTTGGACTGTTTTGTGTTTTAAACAGAATAGTAAAATAGCTTGGTTTTTACTCTGGATTTTAATATTGCATCCTAAATCTTACTATCTCTTAGTTACAAATATTATTAAACATTTCATTTTGACAGAAGTGGATACAATAATGGTCAAATTTAACTAAACAGACGACTTTTCAAAAAGTTATTACTACTATATCAATTTTTTTAATCATTATATTTAAGGGACTCATCCTTTGTTTGCTTTCACCTCTGAAACAGCTTTTGCAGTTTCAGGAATGAAAATAAGCAAAGATTCAGATTCTCAGACCTTTCAGATTGTTTCATAATTCCAGCTCGTATTGTTAGCTCATTGGGTGCTTCTGTATTTTAGCCTAGCATCCTATGTGTACTGTACACTTTTTTTCCCTTTTCTTTCTCAATCTTTTTCAATCAAAAATTGCATTTGAAACAATAAATAGAATATTTTAAAAACACAGAAGTCTTTTAATCTAACATAAACTTGTAATATGTATAAAGCTAAAAAAAAGGGTAAAAGAATTAAAAGCCTAGCTGGCTAATCTTTGTTCATAAAAGGCACCTTTTTACTGTGTTGAAACTATAGAATAAAAATAGCTCAAAATTATTATTCAACCTGTATAATTTAATAAGCGCTATTAAAACAGAAATATAGAACTTTTTGTATCCATAAATTATTCACATTTAATCTTATACTTCATTTTGCTTCAGCTCTTTCTTGCTCTTGCAGGAAAAGAATTTTTATTCCAAACTTTTTAACATGTGTTGCGAAGTTCCCAGTACATTGCATTGTTTAAGATCTAATGATTATTTCATAACCTGTATTCACACGTGGATCCCTATATTAGCTAATCTAAATTAATTTAAATAATATGATAACAACTATCTACAAATTTTAATTAATGTTTAATCCTGAATATTTAAATACACATCTTGATTATTACTAAACAATTAATCTCTAACTATATCAATACTACAAATTAGAATATAATTTAAAAGAAGCCAACATACCCCTGCACCTTTCTCCCTCACACGCCAGCTTCCTTCCTTCAGATTGCTCCGCTTCCAACTGCCGGACGCTCCACCTCTTCACCATTTCAGGGCAACCCTTCAAAGTCCTTCTGATTGGATGATGAAGAAGGGGCTGCCCTATTGGCACCTATCGCTCAGTTGGTGAAGTCGCCCGCCGTAACACATGTTTAAGTTTTTCTTGTTATGCCTCATCACCTGCTTGATTTTGCAGTTCTTTTTTACTAGCATGAAAAAAAAATTTCTTTGCTTATTTAACAATCTATGTTGTTAACAGTAAATAAATCTGCATTACTGTTTTACGTAATAAGATTTATTTACTGCTAACAAGAAATGGTCGGTTCTTTGTAAGTCACAATGTATAATAAGTGTTTTATATTATAAAGATTCTATGTAGAGATCTAGGAAATAATCGTTCATTTATTCATTAAGTCCAGTTAACACTGTAAAATGTTTTATTGACTCAAAGTTACTATATAGGGTGTAATGCTATACATGGTGTTGATAGTATAAAATTTACTTTGTGTATTAAACGGGTTTTAAATTTTTATCAGGTAGATAATACATTATAAATTATTTATAATACTCAAGAATGTGAGAGAAAAATCCTCCACTCTTGCTGTGTAGAGTCACCATAGCATATTATTAATTTCTGAAAGATAGATGAAATATAAAACAGTGTGATAAGAAAGTAAAATAACAATTTCAGTTTATAGTATTTGGGAGAAAGAGGTTTTTCTGAGAACAACTTTCGAATTGAAAACGAATGTAAATGTAATTAATTTGCAGTTTTTGGAATATTTGGTTCAAATAGTTTAGTGAAGATATTACTTAAAAGTTAAGACACCTCATGTTCTTCTTATTATTTTTTGCACATTCTACTATATTCTCAGAACTAATTGTTTGAACCAAAAAACTTAAGTGTGCAATTTTTTTTGTTCTCTGTACTTTGTTAATTATATGAGATGAATTATTCAAAATCCTTTTTTGTGCATAATAAGTGTCACATTTCCCTAGGAGTTCTTTGCTCCGAGGAGCTTCCCGAGGAGATCTTTTTAATCTCCATGTTCTCTTCCATGTTCTCAGCTCTTCTATATTCTCAGAACTAATTGTTTGAACCAAAAACTTAAATGTGCAATTTTTTTTGTGCTCTGTACTTTGTTAATTATCTGAGATTAATTATACGAAATCCATTTTTGTGCATAATAAGTGTCACATTTCCCTAAGAATTCAAAGAGTTCTTCGGACCTCTCTCTTTAATTTCCATCGTTACATCCTCTTGTTTTGTTTATTTTCTAAAACCATTTTATGCTCTTTGATTCTTTTGTAGAGTAATGCATCAAAATTTTTATTTAAATGTATTATTACACTGTCATGTGTTAAGAACTACATATTCCTGTTGGCAACTATATTTGTAATTTAAATAAAACTTAAACAAATTGTTTGCTTGTAAAAAAAGATGTCTGATGATGAAAAAAGATGAGCCTGAAACTCACAGAATTATTTTTTGCTATGTTTTAAAAAATAGTAAAAATCGAAAATCATTTGTTATTGATAGAATTAAAAATTTCATTATATGTAATATTTGTTTGAAATTCTTTATGTTTAAAAATGCTTCAAAATACTAACATAGTGTTGAAAAATTAGTGATAACCTTTAATGCATGATTTGAGCCTTGTCATTTTATTTCAATTTCAAAATTGTATATAAATATTTTTTTTATCTACTAATAGTTTCATGTGAAGCTAAAGGCTGAGTAATGATGAATGTTATGGTGCTCAACTGTTCCTTGAAAGAAACATCATTTTGACCTAAGTCTATTTAATCAAAGATTTGATGAAGGAACAAAAGAAATATAAGCTCTGAGTTTGTTCCACTTGTACAGATACAATCACTTGCACTGTTGAAATTTAAAAAATGTAAGCGTAAAAATTTGAGTGGTTTTCAATCAATATAATCCCTCAAAAAGTGTTACTAGTTTGTGAGATTTCTCATAATTTGTCATATGTTTCAAGTAAAACACTTTGCCATGCTGTCTTAACTCTGTCCTTTATTTACTTTTCAGTTATTGTAACTGTTTTGTATCATGTAAAATACAATTGTTAAACTGTTTTGCACTTTTAAAACATTTAATTCCATCCTATACTATTACACAAAAAAATTTCTATATGAAAGAAATTATGTAATTTTCCAAAGTTATTTTAACCTAATTACTCATTTTTAATTGCAAATCTGTGGCTTATAGTTTTAATTTTCTTTTTGGTGTAAGTGTAAAGAAAGTTTGTTTCAGTATGTTCTCTTCAAGTTTAGTTTAATTTTGTGTGGTTAATTTTACTTTATTATACCATTTCATAAATTTAAGAAAATATGAAAAACTTGATTCTGGAAATTTTAGCATGAAAGTCTGAAAAAGTTACGAAAATTTCAGCCAGGAATTTTCTTGGTACCCGAAGGGGCTCCTTAAACATATGTCACTCACTTACTAGGAGGTGGAGAATTATTCATCATTTATCATTCCATATTGGTAATGAAGTTATTGTTTAAACTGCAAAAAAGGTACATGCTATCTTCTATGAATTAATTAGTTTTAAAAAATAATACATAGGGCAAAATTAGGATTAATTTTTTGCTACTGGGCAGTAACCAGTATAGTATTTTTTGTTGTGGTCTCTTTTTAAAACTTGTGGCTATTTTTTCAAAAATTAAAAATTTTAAAACAGATCGATATGCAATTTCGTGATGTAATGTATTTTTGTGAATCATTTCTCAAAATGTAAACATCTTGAATTAAGAAAAGTTTTAAGAAAGAAATGTGAAATAAAGCTTTTTTCAAAATATTCCATAACATTCATAATAATTCCATATTAATAAAAAAATACTAAAATGCACGTGGGGTGCATTCTCCTTGACAAAGTGGCAAACAGGTGGCAAATGGTAAACAACTTTTTAAATTGCTTTTTCTTTATCGATAATTTTACTGATTCCCTTTTTTGTGACAAATGTTAATCTCCAGACGTAAGTTAACATTTCCTGAGTTAAACATTGGTAGTTATAAACTCTAAAACTTGGGTCAAATGTTCAATTACAGTAATAAAATTAAACCCCCTGAGAAAAGATTTGAGTTAAATGTGGGTAATAAGATGACATGTCACATTTTGTATTTTTGCATCACATATTTTATATATATAATTAGTGCTTACAGTAATTTGAATTGCATTTCAAAGTATTCAGAGTGCAAAAGGTTAAAGCTTAAATACACATGGAAGACGTTTTCTTTTGTTGAAAAATATTTATTTTTCTATAGTCCCACTGCTAATAATTCAGTTTTTTTTTTAAATCCCAAAATGAGCCTATATTAATGTATGTTTAAATGAAGAAAAACAGGTTATACTTTATTATGACCATTTTTGGAATGTATCTTATAACATCATATTGTTAAGATGTGTATGAAGTTTTTCAAATTATGAGTTCCTAATGTTTGTATTATTTTTGTACACTTACAAAATTGTAAGTTCAGATAAAAACATCAATTTTTGTTTGGATAGCAAGGATCATGATTGTGACTATTGAGTGTATATAAATATATATAAAAAAGTAATAGGTAATATCGGGACAGAAATATTGTTTTAGTATATAACTGCTAGTTCCTATTTTAAAATTATTGTTCTTAAGTTTTTGTTTTTTAATTAGTGTGTATTGAATTTAAAGTTTGAAATGATATATGTGAAAACTTAAAATAATTAAAAGTTAAGCTGACATGTAAAGTTCCTTTGTATACAAAAATAAAATTTTTCTTTATCAAATAGATTATGAAAAAATCGTTTATTTTTATTGTATTTGCCATTCTAGTTCTTTATTTGTTAGTAAATTTCTAGATTGTAAAAATTACTTAATTAAAATCATTTACAATAAGAGCTAATAATTTGTTTCTTTTTAATCATGCAATCAATTTAGTAATTTTAGAAAATGTATTTATTTCTATTGAAAAATTTCATTTTTTTCTCACAAATTTTGTAATATAAAAGTATATTTTTCAAAAGATCTAAAAAAAACTTTATTTGAAAAATATTCTATACACACGCATATATATATATATATATATACTAAATGNATATATATATATATATATATATTACTGTTCTTAAATTTTATTTTGCCTCTAAAACATATTTAAAAAAATTGTGAAATGCTTATTAATTTAGATTACTTGTTTAAAAGTATGGATGTAGATTGCTTGGATTATATGTAGAAAATTGCCTTCATTGAAAAGCATATATTTTTGTATTATGTATCTGAATTTGATTAAAGTCAATAATCATATGTGTATTTGTGCTTTTTTGTTTGATATTTTGTACTTAAAAATACCTAGTATTTTAAATGAATATATCATGAAATTAAAGAGTTCAATTGGTAAGAATAACTTAAAAAAATATGAAGTTTCATCATGAAACTTTAACTTTAAACTTTGTGAAAACTCGAATTAGAAGAGCTCAACTTTATTAATCTAGATAGTATTACAATTTAAAAATTATGTTTCTTGATTGATGTAAGCAACCAAGGCTAATATCAATTAGCGGTACGCCTTACCATTATCAATTTGGTAATAAGTATGAACTGTTAGAAAAAAGTTGTAATATTAGTTTCACATGTTCCCTATAATTCGATCAACTCATGTTAGATTATTTCTGAATTAGTTCTATTTTGAAGTTTCTTTCTTGGGGTTCAGAGTTTTCAGAGTTTCAGAGTTTCATTCAGAGTTTTTAAAGCGATTTGCTTTGGAAGAGCTATGAGTTTCCTGATATTTGAAATTGTGTTAATCTTTTCGCCTTGTCACAAACAGTTCTATTTAAGTTCTTCACATTATTTCCATTTTTGTATTGCGTTTTTGTGCGATATTTAAATTATTTATTTAATATTTTTCTGTTAAGTCTTCAAACTTTCATATGAATTTTTACAGTAATTATTTTGTATTCTTTTGACAGCTGATTAAAGTATTAGGAAAAAACGTTTTGTAAGTATTAAAATTAATTTCAATCTTAATTAATATATGAATTTATGACAGTTATATCCTCTTTGAATCCTTGGATTTCTTATATTTTTATTGCATCATTGAGAGCAATAACAATAAATACATATTATATACGTAACTTTAAAAATATATCTATCTATCTATCTATATATATATTTGACTTAAATTAACTGCCATTCTATTTTGAGCCTAAAATAATTCTGAAATCTACATTACAAGCAAATAAAAATTTAATAAATTGAGATTTAATAAAAATAATGGAATTTTTGCATCTCTACTTTATTAAAATCTAAATTATCATTGATATATTAATATTGGTAAATTATTGATATATTTATACGAAAAAGTGTTACTTACCCATTTCTAAATATTTAGAGTATTTTTTCAAATATGTAAAAATCTAACTCTTTATCTAAAATTTGCGACTCTATAACATTAATTTCAAGCGTAAGTCGTTAATTGTGTGACTGTGCCTATAGTGTAATAACATGTTGAACTAGCTATTTGTCTAAGGATCGGTTCATGATCTTGTGCTTCTCATCATGATAGGAGAATCATATGATCATTGCACTAGATAATGTTATATAGTGCTGAAAAGCAGTTGCTGCTTTCTGATACGATTCATGTGACCCTTCTTTTGCTACAGTATCTGAATAGACAACGGTTCTAATATTTAAGCCATTGTTATTTTATAATGCTTTCCTTCTTGTTGTTGTTGTTAATTTACGACGCACTAGAGCTGCACAATGGGCTATTGGAGACGGTCTGGGAAACATCCCGGAGGATGATCCGAAGACATGCCATCACAATTTTGATCCTCTGCGGAGGGGATGGCACCCCCGCTTCGGTAGTCCGACGACCTACGCGCGAAGTCGAGCACTTTACGGTAGCACAGTTTAACGAGGACCAATACCGCACACCCTCGGTCCCTACGCAGACTGATCCAAGTGGTCACCCACCCGCACACTGACAGCAGCCAGTGATGCTTGACTTCGGTGATCTGCTGGGAACTGTGTCTTAACGATCAGTCCACTTCGGGACAATGCTTTCCTTCTACTGGACATTCGAGTATACCACAGTTTTATATTGTTTCACAACATTAATGTTAGTTTTTAAAAATTGTTATTGGAAACTCAATGTTCAAATATTTTGAGATAAATTTAAAATTTTTCTACTCTTGCGATTCATTATTACTTAAAAATAAAATAGACATTATCATTAAAAATTATTTTGAATTAGGCATTATCCGTAGCAAAATGGATGGTTTAATTGCTTATTTTTGGAATGGCTATTAAGGTCAATTTTTTATTGTTTTGATTAATAGAAACGTTTTTATTTATATAGATTTGTTGTACAAAATTTTTGATTGTATGTTTTTATATTAATTTAACCCTTTTGATGTTGATTCTGAAGTTAGTTTGAGGTAGGATCTGTTAGTTTTCTCCTAAAGAAAAACCGAATTTTCTTAATGGAAATATCCTGGAAACAGATCATTAGTGGGACTAAACGTTTGTACAGATTCTACTGTATGATACAATAGTTAAAGGGTTAAAAAGTTTTCCGCAAATATATTTTTAATGTTGTATATAATTAAGTTGTTTACTTGTTAAAGTATGTATTGTAACAGTATAAATAAAGATTTAGTTTGTATTTTCTTTTTTCCTAACCTCCTAATACAATTTTTTTTTATTAAAAGAGAGTTATTAAACATATTGAAAAAGATGAAGTCGTAAAATATTTGTATGTTAATCAAGGGGTAACTCAATAAAATTAGTAATTTTCGTTTTAATGTCTCATTCAATTTTATATACATATATTTGGTTTTGATTTTCATGCTATAGGCTGATTTTTGAAACTTTTTAAGGTTTTCCAATTATAGTGTCTAGGTTTTGTTATAAAATATTAACTATCTGACATCTTTTTAGACTGAGAATTTTTTCAAATATGAATATACGAAGTGAAATTATATTTCTTTCTTAAAATATTCCTAATTTAAAGATGAAAAAAAGAACCTTCAATTCCTTATATATATATATATATCTATCTNNNTATATAATTATATATATACCAAAAAAACCTAGAGTGTGTGCAGTGAGGTGTACATGTATGCATTAGATGTTACTTATTTGTAATCTAGACTTAATCCCGTTTTCAAACGAAATCTGGTACCTTAACAGAATGGTCTACTAAAAAGCAATTCGTTAAGAGCCAATTATGATTCAAGCAGGTTTTGATACGTGACATTTTGGATTTTGTTGAAATTTTCAGGATATGTTATATATAAAACTATTAAACACAACATTATTTCATTTTTGCAGAAATATATAAATATACCTTTGTGATTCTCTGCCGGTACTAGTAGATTTTGACGGTCAAGGTCAAAGAAAATAGCCTTTTTTTAAGATCTTCGAAAGACCTTTGATGCAATGGTCCACTCAAAGTATTTATGTCTTAATTGTTGGTGTGAACATATTAGAGCATGCAATAACATTCAATGCTGCGATTTACTCATTTTACAAAAAGCACCGCCACTAATAAATCAATGTTGTTTTCTCAATATTATAGAGGATAATCGGTTTTACTTCCTCTCCACCCCCAAAAGAAAAAATAAACTTCGAAAAAAAAATTTATTTTTACACACACACACAAAAAAAAAAAACGAGTATCGTATAGTTTTATGTTAGGAACATATCCTGAAAACTTCAAGAAAATCAAAAATGTCAAGTTCTATACCGATTTTTTAAAAAAAACAAGCTTTCAATGATGTTCAAATTATACGAAGAATTATTTATTCATTTGTCAGGTTCTGTCAAGACATTTATTTTAAGTTCTTTCAATTTTGCGAATAGATCCTGAAAATTCGCATGAATATCGCGTATCTTTCCTGGTAAGTGATGGTCATCTTGAGTGTATGATCGTCTCCTTTTTTTATAATATATATAAAATGTTTTTAATTTACTCCTTTCCATTTTTTAGGGTTCATATAGGTTTTTCATGAGTGAATCCACACCAAGATTTTGGATAAATCTTTTTTTCTTTTCTTTTCCTGCTTAAGAAGGGTGCATTAACCCCATCAGGATCGCAATCACACATACCTGATTACGCGATTCTAACTTCACGCCTGCGTTATCATATATGAAATGAGATTTTCTGATTCTAGCTTCCTAAGATTACACGGACGTGGTATCAATCTGGAACTCATTATTAGTACGTATGCCTACTGTTTAATTTCAAATGATATTTTTTATAGATGTATATACGATTAATTTATTTTTTGTTATGTTTGGGGCTCCCATTTTCTCGTATCACTTGGCAATCCTCTAAACTGCTAACATAGCTCTTTCAAGATCACTTTGCTCAGGGCCTGCCCGAGAGTAAGACAACGAAGCAGTCACCAAACTCTCCGGACTTAAACCCAATCAGGAATCTATGGTACCACCTCCATCGGATTGTTCGTAAAATGGATATTGAATCGCGCAACATAGCGCAGCTGACCATGACAATAGAGTCGACATGGCTCAACACCCCAGCAAACATCTTCAAGAACCTACTTGACTCTCTTTCTGCACGTTTCACAACGGTCCGCTTTGCAGAAGGTTGTTCGTGGTTTATTATAATATATACTATTTAAAAAGTACTATTTTTCTTACATAATTTAAGCAAATTATTTCAATAAAATAGTTGAAATGGTAGTATTTTACTAAAATGTTTTGATAAGAGTGAACGAATTGATTAATCAACTGAGCTCATATGACGTCTCATATATTTTTAGAATAGCAGTCGAAATTCTGCGGCCATCTACATTTTGAGCATCTGATTTGGCAGCTGAGCCTTCATTGATTTCTAATTGTTCTACAACTGTTAATTACCTTTTGCAACCTACATTAAATATTACGACTAAATAAGTTGCAATTTCAGCTATTTATTAAGTACCATT